TGGCTCCTGTAAGTAATTGAATAAACAAAAGTCATGATATCTTGTTCAAAGGCTTGCTGAAGAACTTTGCAAAAATGTGACCCTAAGTTTTCCGGAAGGAGCTAATGTCTATCTTTGGACAGTAATGAATTACTTCCCTCTGTCCCAGCCTTTGACATGGCCATTGCTTCTGAGGTTTCTGTTATTTTGTTTTTCCTAAATTGGGATGACAACTTACTCCATCCCTCAACTATGTTATACAACATCAGAATATAATCTTGTTGTAGAAAATTTCAAGTTTAAAGTTTAGAGAAGGACTTACTTGGCTGTCAATTATCACTGAGGACTTTTAGTATTTACTGGGTAAGAGATTCTACTAGGAAAGATAGAAATAAATAAAATGTGATATCTAGTTTTGAGGATGTTGCAACTTTATGGGAGAAACTTGTTAAGTAAATGGCTAATAATGATGCAAGAAAAAAATTAAATAAACATTAACTAGATGACAAGCTCACCCATGGACAGATATTGGAGCAGTTAATTCTAAATTAAAGGGAATCAGAAGCACCTTTGCAAAGGTAGGATCATTGAGAAAATGTTAAAGATAATTTTGTTTTAAGAGGGCAATAGAGAAGAGAAGGCATTACAACTTTGGAAAAGATGTAGCAAAACCATAGGGGACCTATTTGAGAAGTTTTGTTTTTATTATTATTTTTTTAATGTAACACAAGAAAAAAGATAGGCTCTTGCAGAAATGCCAAGAGAAAACATAGGTTTATATTTTTCTCCTGCAGCTTACATTCTGTTCCAAAAAGAAATAGCATATGTAGAAATTATAAGCACATTTTACAAGTTCATAGACAGCAAGTAGTTGTCTGGAAGACTGTAACTGAAAGGCACATTCCTTAACAACCACAGCACCTCAGAATATAAAGAATTTACTAGGCTAAAGGGAGTGCAGAAAGGTTTCTAGAAGACAAGATATAAGTGTTTGTTGAAAGATGGATATAATTTGATGTGAGAAACAATGGATAGGGATATCAAAATGAGGGATGGTATGGAGAAGACTTAAAGGTAGCAACAATTTTGTCATATACACATGATTGTGAAAGTATCAACTTAGCTAGAATAGAAGATATATTTTGGATAATACTAGGAAAAATGTTGGAAATGAAATTTGTGGTGAATTGCAGGAACATAAATTAAGTGAGCAAAGTAGAGTCAGTATATTAAGAGAGAGAGAGAGCAGAGGAGACTATAGCATTGTGGAAACTATGGCCCAGGCTCAAAACAGCAAGCACAACACTAAGCTCCAGCCAATTATGTAAAAATTACGTCAGTCAAAGCTCTACTGGATACGTACAAATTATTTGAGTCACATCTAGTAAATAGATTAATTTTCAAATATTGCTGGATGATAGATCAAAAGCCATTTAAGGTTGTAGGATAGAGATGTAAGGAAAGTAGCATGTTTTTTGAAAAAAAACTATCAATTAAATCACACCTATTAATTTAATCATTAACTTAATCAAATCTATACACCTTAGAAACCAGTTTGAAGAAAAAAATGCAACATTTCAGAAATAGGCCTGAATATGTTTTCAACTGACTCATTTGCCTTTGAAGGGGAGAAATGTAATTATATGATTCTTCTCTACTCTAGGAGGTAATTCTGGGTATAAATTTTGCAGTGTGGGCTTATCTGGTACTTGATGAATGAGTCTTTAGTTCCCATAACTACCAGTTGCCAACAGTGAATGCCATCAAGATTTCGTGGTCAGATGCATGTAGGTGCTTCTGTTTTGGTCAGTGAACCTGGCTGGCAGTAAAAACAGGTGCAGTTTAGAGATTTGCAACAGATGCTTTGGGGTCTGCTAATTTCTGAATTTGACAGAGTCTATAAATCATTCAAAAATATACTATGTCAGTCCACTCCGGTATTAGTTTTCCCCAAACCTTATATGAAGAAACTCAAATAAGCCTTCACATTGCAATTCAGAAGGTTTGCTGTTTAACAAAAAAGCCAATATATTTTCTCCCCCATCAGGGATTCTTGACAGGTGGAGGAGCTTAGTGACAGGGAAGAATGGGATAGAATCAAGAATTTCACATGGAGATTACTGTATTATGACTCTGACTAAAGTGCAGTATACTCCATATGTTGACTATATTTCATTTAAAATCAACTTCTAGTGTGTGTGAACAATGTCAATTCTTGAAATGCAACAAAGCAACCTTGCTTCCTAATGCTAAGAAAACATTAGGAAGCAAATCAATTCTTGAAAATGTGCTAATGAGCCACAATGTCTAATTTAAATCAAAGCTGCCATATTTCAAAACACTTGATGATTTAGATAAGTGTGGCTTAGGTTTTATCATTGATGACAATACTTGAAGGCAAATATTGCAAAGACTAGAAAGTCTCAGGAAAAAAAAAACAACTCACAAGAGCATCTTATTAAGCTATTTTCAGGGAGCTAGTTTAAGTACTGAGAACTATATGAAAGAAAGAGTACCAAAAAACAGGCCACATAAATAGCCATTCTTCTTGCTCAAAATAGGAACTATTAAGGTTTCATAACTCAAAACATGACATTTCCAATTATGTAATTTGACAATTATTTATAAATAATAAGTTCAAGATAAGAAGCAAAAGTTAACAAAGATGAACATCTCCCATTTAGTTAATGGTGCAGCATAGAATCGTAGGAAGTATTTTCATAGATAATATCTCAGTGGGAGAGAGAATTCTCATATTTTTCAGCTTTAGTTAAGATCAAACTGATATAATTAGATTTTTTTCATCAAATGTATTCTTCAGAATTCCCTTCAGTGAGGCATGCTTTTGATAAATTTCAAGGAAAGCTGTTTGGAGAGAAGTTTGAATTAGACATACTTTAGACTCAGAAGCTTTCTTCAAAGACACACCAAAAATTTATCTGAAAAGCTAGAATGACAAAAATGAGAAGTCATTAAATACATTACATTAATAATAAGATTTGTTTTATAAAGAATAACCCAGGATTATTCTGCATCTATTTTATTTGGGAGATAAGACATAATATACCTGGAAATTTTTAACTAATACATACAGCTAATTAGAGGCAAATGGACTTTTTCTCTTCTGGTTGTGATAATGTAGCCATATTGGTTACATATATGATTCAGTCATTAGAAATCATCAAGGCATTAACAAACTTGTAGTTTAATGCGTAGACAACTTATGTTTTTTCTGATTTCAGATTGTGAACAATGTTCTCCTAATATACTTCACATTCTGAACAATTCAGAATTTCACTTTTGCTTCTTTTTGTGCCTGTGATGGATAAGAACTCTTTCTAATGGAGTATAAAATTGTACAGTTGGCAATTTATGAAAACATTATCATCACAAAGAGCATAATTAAAAGATATTGCTAATATTACTTAAGCAAAATATAGTAATTCTGGTAGAATTTGCCTATTCAATTCTCTACAGAAAATTATCACTTGGATGAAGAAGGAATCACTGTTACATTTTTCTTTCACTTACAATTTTATTCTTGAAAGGCAGAAGAAAAAATAAATAAATCAGGGGCACAGGCAACTCTGTACTTGGTATCAACCAACAAGAAAGGACCACTAAGATCTAATAAAGTGAAGAGAGATTGAATGATCATAACACAATCAACTTCTTAAGCAAGTAAATATATTACCACACCTAATTGAAAAGCCAAGCACTATGTGACCTATTTGTGACACAAGTAACTTTGAGAAGGGCATATAGAAATAAAAGTTTAATATCAAGAGTTGTAGGTATACCTCTTCCATCTTTCCTTAGCCCATTTTCAGTGTTTCAGTGTTTTTGAAGTAATTTTAAAGACTGAAAAAACTCTGTGCCAATATTCATCAAAGATTTTATGTGTCAACATACTAGGAAAACTAATCATTGATTCTTTACAAATCTTGCTAAGTTTTTCTTCTAGCATAGCTCTTCAAAACCAGTCTCTAGTGAAGGTTATTTAACTATTGGTATGTTTCTCTTTATTAATTTATCACAAAGAACACCTTTATAATAAAAAGGCAAATAATTTTTTGAAAAAAAAAATCCATTCTTGTCCCTTCTACCCTTTTTAACTAAACAATGTACATACATTTCAAATTTAATATTCCCGACACATAATGTAAATAATGATTCTTTAGGATGGATGATTTAAGTAGAGAACTTTAAATATTTTAAGAATCACAGATACACTATCACTCTAAGTTAAAAGGCAATAACAAAATAATTCTACCTGAGGATTATACAAGCTCAAAAATTGTTCTCAGAGGAAAGAATTTTGCCAGGATGACTCATAAAAGTAGTTGATTGCCCTTGTTATGTATGAATCCATACTTCTGTAAGTTTACTGGAGAAACGTTCACCATAATGTTAAAAAGAAGGATGCCATTTTAACAAGTGAATCAAAGTGTTTACTCACTGATTTTAGAAAATAGTAACAGGTGCTTCAACCCAAACAAAATCCTAGTGACATATTATTTCAAGCAATCAAAGAACATTACATGCAAGAAGAAAATGGCATTTCACAAACAACCGCATATGAAGGTAGAGAACACTTCTCTGGAAATACATGATAAACTTGTTGTATAATAATGTAATAAAAAACCTGCGGGTATAAGTGACATAGCAAAAAGAGGGTCCAGAGACCATTGCATGCTTGATAATATACTGTCCTATTTATATATCTAACAGCTCTGACATTAATAAACATTCATAAGTGGCTAAGGTCTTTGGATAATTTATATAACATGTATAACTATAAAAGACCTTTTCTCCTTAGTGAAGATATGTATTTCACCAGGATAAATTTCAAATCACATAACCATGAGTCTCAAGCACCAATCAGATAGTATAGTAATTCTATTGTATGTTGGAACCAGTAAGACAGAATGAGACTCTTTTTCCATGTGTATGCATATTGGAATGTCAAACAAATTCAAACAACAAGAACAGTAAAGTTGTTCCTGGGAATGGAGACTTACCAGTACTTGTAAGGAAGTTAACATTTCTCATAACACCTTCAGTGTAAGCCCCAGGTTCATAACTGTCCATTTCACCTGTGACAATGTGAGCAACTCTTGCTGCCCTTCCTCTGATAGCTCCTGCGGCACGGTCTAAATTATCTGCATCCTGGTCTCTCAAGGCTATGATACACTTGTTGACATCTTCCAGGATATGGCTTTCTGTAAGAAGAGAAATCAAATTAGTCATGTGTACACCTTTTAAAATCACACAAATGTAGCATGTTCTAATTATGCAAACTTTTGTCTTCAGATACACTGCACACTGAAGGCACTGAGAATTAGTAATAAAGAAAAAAATAAAGATATTTTGTTTCTATTTTTTTACCCTTTAACATAAAATTAGTGAAATATAACAAGTTTACATTTTAAGAAACATTTTAATTGATTACATACTGTATTAGATTCTAGTTCCAGCAGAGGATATTTGAGATTTGAATGACATGTAGGTGAAAATTAAGAACAATTTGTTGATTAAAGTGAAAATAACCTGTAAATGATGAGATGATAAATTCTTGAAACAATAGTATGTGTATTATAAAACTCTTCAAAATTGTCACCTTTGTTAAATATATATAAAAATAAAAACCATGGAGTTCCATTTATTTGTTTACTGACTTACTATGAGGTTTAACACAATTCCAGAAATGCTATAAATTAGTATATATGAAAAATGTAAAAAAAAATAATATCCATGTTGTGAACCAATAATCTCACAAGTCTGTGAACATACAAACACACAGTTTTAAGAGATTGATTTATTTGAAGCAAATGAATCTCAGAAAAATATGTATACTTCGAAAATGTGCATATTCTTCTCCTTCCCTCTTGGCATGATTAAGCCATGAGGCAAGCAGGAAGTTATTATTGTAGTAAAAGAGTCTTTTTCTCTTTAAAATGATTAATACTTCCAAATAAAAGTAATGAGAGGAGACCAGCAAATAAGTACAATATCAATAGTAATGGACAATGGTATAAAAATTTAAATTTAGTATTTTGACTTCTGGTCTTATCACATGAATCCCTATTCAACATGTTTAAAAACTCTATTACTTAAAAGCACACAGAAAACAATTACAACAAAAACATCTCAGCATACCAGAACATAAACATGAACTCTCTCTAGAGAGTTTCCTTCTTCTACCATACTTTCTGGTAATTGTGTATGATGTTTGTGTTAACTATCTGTTGGATTAGCTACAAGGGTAATCAATCATAATCAAATTTCCTTATAGAGTAACACTAACTTCTTTACATACAGAGAATCAAACTACCATAGAGTATGGTCCCTGGTGATGTTTTAAATCTGTCTCATATGAGTCCTATGTAGGTCTCTTATACTTCAGTATCGTGTATTTTATATTTTCCAAAATCCTCCTTATCCTGCCATTCCTCTGGCCTATGGCAATTTTAGAACCTTGACCTAGTCTGCCTAGTGCCTATGTTTGGCTTGCTCACGTCTTACTATTGTTTTAAGATATTGCTCACAATGTTCCTTTCTCCCAAAATCTGTGCTGACCTCCTACAATACCACCTGGTTCCATATTGAGATTCCTATGAAAGGGTTTATTTGCTTACATTAGAGTTTCTTCCAGTGTTTTCATGATATACTTATAAAATCATCTTTCTAGCAGACTGTGAACTATTTCCAAGGGCAGGAATATTATCTTATTCCTTGAGGTTTGTTATTTAGTACTGATTATAAGACTTAATAATTGTTATACTAACAAAAATGTTAGTTGAATAAATGAGTGAAGCTCTATTATAAGATGCAAATAGTAAGTTATTTTGTCTAAATACTAAATAACAAGTTATTGACATAGATGGGCACTTTTCTGTAGCCTGAAATTCAGCCAGTTTTATCCATATCAAGGACATTCAGATTATTTACATAAAAATTATGTTAAACACTGAAAACATTCATTATAAATACACTAGGATTTTAACCTAATTAGTAGCATTCAGTTATGAATGTATCATTAAGGCTTAAAATAAATCTGAGCATTGTCCCTTCTTGATAGAAAGCACATATGAATCATCACCATCATATTTCCTGTGAAACTTAGGCATAGGTGTAAAAGGCATAATAATCATCTAGCTCCTTTTTTGTTTGGACTTATAGAAGGTTGTGTGGTTACTGTCTGCAACTGAGCAATGCAGTCAGAGGTCACAGTATTAATGATGTTGAATAATCATAGAGGTAAGACTAGATATGGAAACAAAAGTTCCTCATGAACATATACAATATGAAAAAAATGATAGTGAAATAAGTGGCAAGAAACAGCTAACCACTTAAACTGAAGCAGCTATAATCAAAATGTTAGAAATGGTGATTAAATAATCTCTGGAATTACTACAATTAAATATAGCACAAAAATATATTAAGAAAAAATTGAGAAATTTCCACTTTTGTGACATGTTGCCATTACCCCAACTGTTTCACAGAATCCTAGAAACATCTATTTGCATGAAATTCTAAACATAGAGTGCCAGAAAAAGAAAATCAAAATGTTGGGTACTTCCCACATACGCATAATAGCTAAACATTAACCTGAGTTCTTGAAATTGATTATTGTGTTATCTGTATTTTGGGTGAATACCAGTAGCTAAAAGGACATTATAACTGACTTGAGTTTTTATGCCTAGCCATATAGCTCATGAACTACTAGGAAAGAAAAAAAAATATGAAACACCTGTATAAAATTTTCCATAGTTGTATCCCTCAACTAAAACTTTGCTGATAGAATGAATTAGACAAAGCAAACATCGTTGGGAATTCTACCTCTATTTAATTTTTCTTAACTGTAGAAGAACTGGGACTCAAAATTTCTATCATTTTGAAAATAAAGTTTAAAAGAAAGAGAATGTATTATTATGGTACATTTAGGATGTCATGCTTTGCAGAAGTGATGTATAAGGAAGCTATGTCTTAACAGCTTCAGAGTATAGTTTAAGATTTGATTTGAGGGGAGAGGGGAATGTCTAGGGGTTAGTGCAAATGCTGAAGTGCATTATTTTAAGAGCAAAGAATTGCCGAGTTACTAGCAATTTCCATCAATCATCTTATAGCCATCCTGAGATACAAAAGTTTCCTTCTATTACATTGGAAACATTAATACACAGGGCAATAAAAGAAAGGATTTTTGCTGAAAGATTCTTCATTTTTTTGTAAACTTCTCTTGCTAACTCCACCTTCTATCACTTCAGTTAAGTGCAGTACAACATTTTGAAATGTTTTTAAATAAATTCTATACTTTTTTCCTTAATTAAAGTCAGAATTTGAAGGTCAATTTGATTGCCCCCAAAGAAGGCAGAAAACAAAATGAAAAGAGAACCAAAAACTGATTTATTGGCACTTGACATCCAAAGTTGAATATTATAAATCTCTATCCCAGAGAATAGATTGAAAGTATAAGGGCATTTTATTTTTAAAAGTCAGAATGTGTTGAGAGGTAAAAGTTTCTTCCTTTGAATTTCTGAAGGTGGACTTTGAAAATACCAATGGCAAAGCCTGAAGGGGAAGAGAGTTTCTGCTGTAGTCTATCGACTGGGTAATATGTCATACACTATCACTAGGTTCCTCCCATGGTAGCTTGATATATTTAACAAAAATTCTGAGGAGAAGAATAATAGGAAAAAGGATGTTGAGTTTTTTTTCCTAATGAGACTGAGTTATAATCTAAAATAAAGTGAATTTCCTAAATTAGAAAGATTAAGCTTAGCAACCAGTGTATGTGAGCTCAGAGAGTAAGTTAGGATAAGTTTAATTATAAGAAAACAAATTTCCATTTTTGCATATATAGATCTATAGATGTTAAAATCCATTACACAGGCAACTACACAAATGTTTAACAAACAAAAACTAAAATCCCATATTTGTCTTCCCCATTTTCCCAAAACAAATAATACTAAAAAGCAAATGAAATGCATCACTGTGTAAGTTAATTGTTGTTTATGTATCTACTTAATGATGGTCAAAATTTTTGTTTGTCAAGAATTAGATCATAATGATTGGTTTCCAAATTAATTAATATCTCACAAATGATTTGTAGCAAGTTCTATTTGGAGAATAATAAGCATGTATAGCTAAATGTACAATACTGTGAAATTCCTCATCCATTTTCTTCATTTCAAATTCTTTACTGTGTCTCCTTTCCTCAATTTAAATCTTACTATATGTTTGAACAAATAGATAATATAAAAGAAAATAAAGCCCAGTCCCTATATACAAAGGATTTACAACCAAGTAACCAGAAAGTACTGTTTTTATTTCAAAGGAAATCTTCTTATGGCAATTTTTTAAAATTTATTTTTATCTGTCTCAAAATATGATAAACAACATGTTTATCTGCTAAGCAGGCAACTTTTAGGGGCAAGCACCTTTAATTATAGGGAAAAAGCTGCTGCCACATTAAATGGCTTAGCTTGCCTTCAAAGGTTTTTGTGTTTTGTTTTTGGTTAGTTGATTGGCTTGTTTTTTGGTAATTGCTCAATGCTCTTCTTTTTTATTAGAAATTTATAACTATACATTGTAGCTGAGTTCACTCCCACAAACTCATACATGCACGGAATTTGATTTTGGTTTATGATCCTCTCCTTTTTTCATACTTCTCCCATTCTCCTGCTTCTACTCTACTTGATTTCTTTCCACATGTCTATTTATTTATATTTGATTGCTTCTTTCTACCTATGGATAAATGTGAAGTTCGCTGTGGTATATTTATACATGCAAGTAACTTTTTAAATAATCCATTCTTCATTGCCTCCCCTTACCCATCCCTCTCCTCTGACTCTTGATCTCCTTCTTCTGCATTATTGAACTTCCCTTCATTTTTTTGTTATACTATTCTTCCCTTCCCCTTTCATTTATTTTATTCTATCATATGAGAGAAAATATTTGACCTTTTAGTCTGGCTTATTTTACTTAGCATGATATTCTGATTTCTATCCATTTACTTGCAAATACCATAATTTCATTTCTTTTCATGGCTGAGCAGAACTCCATCATATAATTTTTATATATATATATATATATACTCTCACACACATATATGTATGTATGTATATATATGCACATATCACAATTTGTTCATCCATTCATCTATTGAGGGGTATCTAGGTTGATTTTATAATTTAGCTATTCTGAATTGTGCTGCTGTAAA